CTCTCTCTCTCTCTCTCTCTCTCTCTCTCTCTCTCTCTCTCTCTCTCTCTCCAAGGGACAATTGAAACATCTTTCGTACTACTACTACTGTCGACGTTAGTCGATGTCCCAAAAACACGGGTCAATAAGTTCGTAGTGCTGTGGAAGCGTATCGAAGCGCGTACGCTTCCCGAACAGTCCAGTGTTATTGACGCGTACGCGTCCCTAACACCAGCCTTATTAGAATTGTCTTGTGTTTTTGTGGGTGGTTGGAGGGGACCGCTGGTTTTTTTCTCCTTCGTACCCAGTACTTTCTGTGTTGTCTTTCTTAAATTTCTCTGCTTTGAATTATCGTTATTATTTCATTTTGCTACTCTACGCAACTAATAGTAGATTAGCTTAGGTGTTTAGAGGATGTCACTGGTATGTCCTACTTCTTTTCTATCCTTCTGTTGTTTCAGTCTCTCCATTTTGCTTTTTCCAAGCGCTAAATAACCATACTGTGCTCATGTGCTTCTTTTCAATCAAACAATTATACACAACTTATTATTGTGTTCTTGGCAGGCATTTGTAAAGTCCAGACATTCGTGGGATAGTTGCAAACTCCGAACACGAGGCTATGGCTGTGAGCTAATCTTCTACACCACCAACATCATCGTCATCAAAAAGTTCTGGCAGGTTGGGAATCTTGGACAGTGCTGGAACGCGAGTCTCACGATGGAAGGCGGTGTGTGGGGTATAGTGATCATCGTTTCGGCGTTCATGATTCAGTTTCTGGCCTTTGGTGCTACTTCTAGTATCGGAGTCTTCAACATTGAACTGCTGGACTATTTTGACCAAGCCACTGTCGGTGTCTCCCTCATTGGAGCCCTTAACTTTGGGATCTTTTTGGGAACAGGTAAGTTCTCACCTTTTGTGAGTGGTTAGCGGTTGCTCTAGTGTGGTTTGTTCCTTATCAAACATCTATTGACCTGATCTCTCCTTTTTTGTGTTTGTTACTCTCTTGTAACACCTCTGATCTTCGGCAGGTGCTCTGGTGTGATTTGCTCCTTCTTGCCTATCAAACATCTATCGTTCATATCTGTCCTCCTTCTTTTCTGTGTTTGTTACTCACTTGTAACACCTCTAAGCTTCGGCATTTACATGACCTAATTGTGTTGCAATAGTACAGTTTATGTAAGGCCCACTTGCACACAGGACCAAATCACTGGTGTTCAGGCTCGTAAAAAGGCTCAGCTGTTGCGTAATGCTGGTCTGAATTAATGAATATGTTAATGAGAATTTATTTATTTCTATATGACACATTGACTTTTGTGCAGTGTTGTGCTTTACGAAAAAAACAACAACCTTTCTACTGCTGAATACTTAATGCAGGTGACATTCATGCTCAATCATGCACATGGATTAAAAAATCATTTACAATCCCAAAGCAAGAGCCAATGTTTTTTACACATTACGATGTATATTGTGTTATTTCTGTTTGTCAACATTGCTTTTTCTTGCTTTGAGCAGTTGTCATTTTATCATGTACTTTTCCTCGCTCAAACCAAGCAGCAGAAAACATTTTTTCCCCGACACTTGATTATCATGAATGTATCAGTTTGCTGCTTTTCCTCTCTACGGCGGTAAAAATCTTGTTCTGACAAATCATGGAAACAAAAGAGTCATGTTTGTTACTTTGTGTGCTGCAGGGTTAATGCCTCTATTTTGTTTCTTTGTTTGTGTTAAGGTTAATATCTGTTGTTTGGTTCTTTGCTGTAAGGTTAATGTTTGTTGTTTCTTTGTTGTTAGGTTAATGTCTGTTGTTTCTTTGTTGTAAGGTTAATGTCTGTTGTTTGGGGGATTAATGTAGTGTCATGTTGTTGTTTTTTTTTTGTTTGTTGTAAGATTGTCTTGTTCTTTTGGTTTTTTGTTTTGTTTTGTTTGTTTGTTTGTTTGTTTGTTTGTGGTGCACTTAATATCTGTGGTTCGTTTCTTGGTTTGTTGTCAGGTTAATGTCTCTTTTATGCTTTTTTGTATGCTGTAGGGTTAATGTCTGTTGAATGTGTCTTTAGGGGATGATTGGCGGGTCTCTGATGTGGTTCGTTCCTTCTTTCCTATCAGACAACTATCGTCTTGATGTTTCTGCCTTCTTTTTTTGTGTTTGTTACTACTCACTCTCTTGTAACACCTCTAATCTTTAGCTCTTATATGACCTAATTGTGTTGTGAGTGCCATAAAAGGTTTACTGAAACATAAAACAATATTGTCTATTTGTTTTCTCTGTCTATCTTTTGTTTATTTCTGTGTTGTGGGGTTATTATCCATTTTAAAAAAGATGTTTCTTTATGTGCTGCTAAGTTAAAGTTTCTTTCCTTCCACTCCACCAGGGCAGTGCTACTGAATGAAGTTGTCTTTAGGTCATTCCAAAAAGGGGGATATTAACACATTCTTAGCACAGTAGAATTATAAATGGGCTGATTTATCAATGTTATGCTCATACCATACTGTGCTGGAACAACATAGGGGGAATTGCTTCTTTCACCCGTCTGCTGGGACATTTCAGTAACTCACTTTCAGCACTTTTTAAGGACCCCCGGGCGAGTGTTGAGTTCCTGCGTGCTGTCGGCATCGCTGACCGTTTATGAAGCCACAGCGCCAGAAGAGAGAGAGAGAGAGAGAGAGAAAGATTGCTTCTTTCCTCATCCTTACTATTGTCATTTTTTCCTCCTCTTCTTTTGGTATCGTTGTCACTCTCTTGTGAACTGCTATTTCCAGGTTGCCTGGATAGTCGAAGCAGACTTTGTGCTGTTGTGGTTAGAGAGGTGAGCTGAGTTAGCCCGATTCCCCGTTTGGCGTTTGGACTTCTCTGTTCTCATCCACCCTTTTTCGCTCATATGACCTTTATGCAGTTGCGAGCGCCGTAAAACCTTACTAAAAGTGGGTGGTTGGCGAGTGCTCTGGTATGGTTTGTTCCTTTCCCATCGAACATCTATCATCCTTATCTCCCCTTCTTCTTTTTAAAAATGTTTGTTACTCTCTTGTAACACCTCTAATCTTCTGGCGCTCATATGACCTTATGCAGTTGCGAGAGCCGTAAAACCTGTACTAAAACAACAAAAACCTTACTAAAACTAAACTAAAAGTTTGTTGGTTTTGTTTTGTCTCCTTAATGTAGGTCCCATCGTGAGCTTCCTGATGACCAAGTTCTCCTACAGGAAAATCGCAGGGGTGGGCTCTCTGCTCATAGTGCTGGGTCTGGTGGGCATGCCCCTGCTGCCCTACATCCCCTCCATGTGTCTGTGCTACGGAGTTCTCACGGGTATGTACTTCGGAGTTTTCCAGATAAATCTGGAAGGAGATAAAGAGACAGGGAAGGAGGGGGGGGGGAGAGGAGGGAGAAGGAGAGAGAGAGAGAGAGAGAGAGAGAGAGAGAGAGAGAGAGAGAGAGAGAGAGAGAGAGAGAGAGAGAGAGAGAGGGAGGGAGAGAGGGAGAGAGATAATGGGGGGGGGGGGGGGGGGTGAAAGAGAGAGAGGACCAACACCGCCTTGAAAGAAAGAAAGATCTGGATATTGCACTGCGTATATATAAGAAAGATTGTCTTGATACAGAGATAAATTGGACAAAATGTGATCTGTAAATCGTGAGTCCCTGTGCTTGTGGTTCTGAATAGTTCAAGGTTTAAAAATAATAGCCAGTTGAAATCTCTGGTAATTTACTTTAACGGGAGGAGCTACCCTTGAGGACCATTTTCTATGTTTATTGCCCGAGATAAAATCTAAGTACACATATAAGTTAGACATAGTAAAATCTCTTGATACGCAATTTTATTTTGGTATAGCTAGAACGGTTGCTATGGAAACGGCCGCCATCTTGAAAATAAACAATGAATTTGAAGTCCCTAAGGCTTTCCGATTTACAGATCAAATTTGACCAAATTTGGTGAGGGTATACCTGAACCAAGCCCTATCAGAGTAACAGCAAGTTTTTTTCAATACATTCAAAAGAAAAAAAATTATGAGAATTTTCCCAAAGTATAAAAAAACTTTTTCTAAATGTAGGTTGCGTAATCGCTTGTCAAAGGAAAAGTAAAACTTTTTTCGCAAATATCTTTCTGTTACATTGATGGCAGCCTTGCCAGCTATGTTTCCTGAAAGTTTCATGTCAAAAAGATGAACACTAAGGAAGGAGTAGGGAAAAAACTGCACAAAAATTACATTTTGCGAAAACCGACAATAATTGTGAAAATTCACTATATTAATCCATCCTTATGTTTTTAAAGGCAAATTACCTGTATAATAAAGTTTTTCTCAATTGTATCCATGCTATTTTTAGAAAAAAAACTTGTTGATCTTCAAAAATCAGCCAACATAAAATGTGCATAGCCTGACCCAAAATCTGCAAAATCAAGGGTCGCTCCTCCCCTTAAGGCAGTATGCGTCTTTCATAATGGCTCAAAATTTTGACTCCGGAGTCGAATTTGAGATATTGTGTTGGTTTCTTTTTTTAATGCACACCAGTGAGTGGTTGAAGGGTGTTACTGGCCTTTACCAAAAACTTAACCATTAATTGTTTATGAAAATGTCAGGTATCAATGTTTAGGTGGTTTTTGTAATATACATTTGTTTTTAGCTTTCTTCTCATCTGTCTTTCAATTGAGTTTTTCTGGTGGTGTTGGTAGCCAAGTGTTTAGCTTGTACTTGTGGGACTCGTAATCGTGAGATTGCAGGTTCGGAGGTTGGAGCCTTAGCTGGAAAGGCACTTTACCCGAATGTCCCATTTGGCTCGGTCCTTTCGGAGATGGATGTTAAACTTAGAGGTCCCGCCTCTTAAATAATCTAATGGTGTTGATAGGGGCGTTAAACCTTTGCTATTTTTCAGTTTTCTTTCTGATTGGGTGCCACTTATACTCCATAAGGATAATGTCTCTGGCAAAAAATATTGATATCTTTTTCTCTTCTTCTATAGTCTTCTGTTTGCTTTTCTTTCAAGTCTGTTTGGTAACTTGGTTCCGTCTTGTAAAAAAATACCCTCCCCCCCCCCCCCCCCCCCAAAACAAACAACAACAACAACAAAACAACAACAACAAAAAAACAAAAAAAAAACCCCCCCCCCCCCCCCCCGATGCTACAGTGAGGAGCCTGCCATTGAAATAACATGGCCTTTTATTTATCTGCCTAGTTGGGGTTGAACTTGTAAAGGAAAAGAAAACAAGGAAAAAAGCAGAACTCTCAAACTTCCTCACATATAATACTTGTGTGACATAGAAGTGCCATTCTAAACACAATTTCTCCACTGTTAATTCTTTTTTTTATTTTTTCATTTGTTATTTTGTGTGTGAGTCTGTGTGAGTGGAAGACACCAATGGCATGTCTTACTTTCCTTATTTTCCTTTTGTTTTTTTCTGTCTGTCTGTCTGTCTGTCTGTCTTGCTTTTTTCCAGCACTGAATTACTACATCTGTGTCAGTATGTTTGTATTTATGCAAATAAAAAAGTATCCCCACTGGGTTATATAAAAGCGTTTTTTTTTCTTTTCTTGTCCTCTTAACCCAGATTTCTCCTCTAGGGTAAATAAAATTGCTTTTGTTTTTTTCATGTTTCGTTCTGCGGTCTAGGTTTCGGCAGCAGCTGTGTGTACCTCCCCTCACACGTCCTGAGCGGGCTGTACTACGAGAAGTACCGCAGCGTTGCCACAGGGGTCGCCACAAGCGGCTCTGGTCTGGGCGGGGCAGTCATGCCCGTGGTCACCGGCCTCCTGATAGAGCAGTACACCTGGAAGGGATCCTTCATCATCCTGGCTGGGCTCTGTCTTCATCTCTTCATCTTCTCCCTGCTGCTGCTCATGCCACCTGATCTGAACTCTGCCAAGACCAGAGAGATCAACATCCCTGAGACAACAACAGAAGCTCTGTCGGCCTCTGACCAAGGTGATGTCTGTGGGAATGAGGAAGGGAAGCTGTGCTTAACGGTTTCAGAGGATAATCAAAAAAAGATGTCCGAGTTGACTGAACTCAGTAATGGGGAGTTAGGATTTAAGGAAGTGGATGTCAGTCAAGTTGACGGTGCGAATAGACTGAGCGGGGATGTATGCTCTCGGTCGTTGGATAATGTGTCCAGCAAGCCCTATCAGAATGGTTGCGACTCGGCTTCGTCATGGAAGGATGGTTCGAGTCCCTCTGCCAAGTTGCTGAATGGTGGCAAAGGTGCGAAGAACCTGTCTGGTCTGAAACCTCTGGCTCTATCTGTGTCCTCTCTACACGCCGTAGGCTCCAGGGGCTCTGGCTATCTTGTGGTGGACAGCAGCCCCGACGTCCATCAGTTGTCCACCACAGCTGTTCGGGATGCAGAAGAGGTCAAGGTCAGAGCTCCGAATGCATCGAGACACGTGTATATCTTCACAAGCTACCCCTTTGACGTGTATTTTGTGAGCAACATCCTGTGGAATGCTGGCTGTGCTATTGTTGGGACATTTGGGCCTGAGTTCCTCAGAGAGAAAGGTCTCACTTCCATGCAGGCAGCTTGGCTCAGCGGCTCCTTCGGATTAGGTACTTTTCTCGGCGGGATTTTTGGCGGACTTATCGGAAACGTGAAGTGCGTCAATCGTCAAGTTCTGTACACGGGAGCAAACATAGTCATGGGGGTCTTTGTGATCGCCTTCCCCAACTTCGAGGGCATTCCCTTGTACGCCACCTGCCTCATCATCAGTGGGTTTGCCTTTGGAATTATCCTGGGTCTATTGGTCATCGTTCTCACAGACCTTATCGGCATCGACAGTCTCGGGAACGGGCTGGGCTATCTCATGTTGTCCAACGGCTTGGGAACCTTCATTGGTCCACCTTTGGCAGGTAACGTAAAAACGTAATATATCGTAGGTGTCGCAAACAGTCCTTTTAAGTCCGTCTTGGTGCTTTTTACGTCAGAGACCAAAAACTAGCTCTTGTTCTGTTGTTCCTATCAGGAATCCCGAAAAGCAAGAAAATTGTAAGTTTTGACCATAGTATTGAATTTTAAAAAAAATGCATTTTGGTGATGTTGGAAGGTGCATCTTTGATCGGGCTTTATGAGAGTGTAAAGAATGAAAATTCTCAAAATTTTGACTTTAGTGGAATTCTTGCCACATTGACAATATGTGATTTTTATCAGGTGCTTGTTAAAATAATGAAATGAAAGAAAGCCATTTTTTTCTCCCCATTGGGAATTTTAATAAATATTTTACAGATTTGGGCTCATCACCTTTTATGTCCATCTAACGACACATTCCTGCTTGGAATTTATTGAACGACTTTGATCAAAGGCACAAAAAATGTTGATTTGATGTTTCCAAGGACACTCAAGCTTTAGGAGTCTCCAAACTTTGGGAGCCACTTTCTTGCTAATTTTACCTCTGGCACCAGGCGACTCCCACCTTTTTTAACTGCAAGTATTCGACCTTCAATTCAAGGTAGATGGGTTTCTTTGGGGGTTTTTTCATCAAAACCACGGCTTTAAGATAATTTTTAAAAATCCACGAGCACCGGATTCCACTGTGTTGTGACACATAAAAAATATTATTATGTCTCTTTTTGTTGAGGAGACATTTTAAAACTTTACTCTTGCTTTTTATTGGTGTATCGGAGGGTGCTATTGTAGGTAGGTTCTATTTCTTTTTTGTTCTTTTCTTTCCCTTTGTTGTTTCTGTCTGTCATACTATGTATCTGCCCTTAATGACAGTTATTAGTTATTGTGTCCATAGCTTCTCTTTACTGAAATCTGAACATTTTTTTTTCACATTGATTTTGCCTTTTGTTGGTAGGCACAGTTTGGACTTTCTTCTTTGCCCTGAATTTTTGTCAAAACCCATGTACAGTGGAATCCTGTTATAACGAGAGGGAGGGGACCGGTGCAAAATGTCCGTTATAGCAGGATTCTTTCTATAAGGGATCCAGTAATAAATTCAAGGGAACTGTAAAGTAGGCTTCTTCTATGAGTTTGGTGTTCTGTTTATTTAATTTCTTTTTGCTATCTCCCCTGGTGATGATTTTATTTCAACATGACCTCCAGGTCTTACTTGATCAAAAATGGAATCCGGTTTCTTTCTCTAGCGCCAGCAATATTGACTGACAGCTCGGTGTTGGCGATCAGAAAGCAAGGGCTCTGGGCTAACTCGCCCGCTGTGTTTTCCCCCACCCCACCACACCCTGTGGTACATTTTGTCTGCTTAGGCATTTCACACATTCGCTCTATCCATCACATTCCTGTGACCTCTCCATTCCCGCATCGGAGAAGTGAGAGGCATGGCAGGCCTTGATAATCTAACTAGGCTTACGCTGGCCTATCACGCGATGCGCTCTGCTTGTCTACGCATGCCACACCCTCCCTACTCAGTCACTCTGGCCTTCTTTGTTGACACACACAGGCTCTCCCATTCTTTGTTTCGCTAGATCACCAACAAGTTTCTCCACTTGCGAGGTTTTACATTATGTATAATTGGCCTATGCTCTGTGCACAGCAGCAGCAATATTCCGCTATAACCGACTTGCATGTTTGTCTGATTGCACTATAGCAGTATTTTATTTACAGAGGTAAGGAAAAGAAAAAAATGGGGTTTTAGAATAATTTCTTTATAACAGACTTCTCGTTATTTCCGGACTCGTTATAAGTGGACTCCACTGTATTATAATTTTTAACAAGGGTCCATCAAGTATTGTTCTCTGATGTTAGTCGAAAAATGTTGAAGCTTTAACTAGTATTTTTAGCACTAAAATCTAATGAAAAGAGACAGTTTATGTTATCCATAAAAATAGTGTCAAAGAAAAGCACCCTTCACATAATACTCCTCTCGGTTGCCGAAGAATGATGGTTCTTTCCATTCAAATCCCTATCTATTACCCTCAATTACTCCAAATATAGTTATAGTTATAACAGTAAATGTTACATACACGTAATATGGCAAATATTTTTAAATGCCGAACTTTTGTAGCATCTCTTCCCTTTAAGTAGCTGTGACAAGTTTTCTTCTTTCTTGCTACAAGTAGGTATTTCACTGCCAATGCTTTTGGCTGAAGAGGTGTCTAGTGCACAGATTTCCTTCCATTTTATTCAATTGAAAAAATGAATCATGTCTGTGATTTCAGGTCTGGTTCGTAGTCCTGAGTACGGCTTCAAGATGGGCATCATCCTGGCGGGGGTTTTGTGTATTGCTGGAGGCTTCACCATGTTCTTGATGCCCTGCAGGCGATGTTGCCTCTCCGACGTGGAGAAAGTGGAGCACGAGGAGGAAAAGGAGAAAATAGCTTTGTAGACAGATTACTTGAAATTCTCTTTCATGCAAATTTCACAGCGAAGTCAAGGCAGCCCCCCCCCCCCTGAAAGCGTTTAAAAAAAGTTTCCAAAAAGAAAATGGAATTAATTTGAAAATCTATGCCAATAACAAAGGTATATTACCCCCCCCCCCTTTTTTTAAACAATGTAAATTGTGTCTAGGGGGTGTAAAACATTCAAAAATATTTTAAAGGAAGGAAAAGTGTGTCTTGATGAGTGTTACAAGAGCTGTTTGTGGAAAAGGAAGAGTTGTGAAGCTTTATTGATTTCGGAGTGTGCATCGGATTGCTTCAAGTGTTCTGTTTCTCTTTGCTGTGGTGAACCAGGACTATTTTTCATGGGAAAACAGATTTCATGTTCCCCCAACTACAAGCCAGTCTTCATGATAGGCTTCACTGTGCTGAACTCTGCCCAATAGTCCGTCTTGGGCAGCATGGGCAGAATCTTTCTTCTCACTCGGGCTTATCTAATGTGCTTTGTGTGGCACCAAAAGGGATGATGCAGTTAGTCCGGGATACGGAGCGTTCGACGGTGAGCAGTGCATACGGCTGTTTAGACTACGTACGTGCTGTGCAATCATGGTAGGCCGTGATGTGTGCCCCCTGTGACAATCATGGTACATATCAATATCAAATGTCAATGAGACAGTCTTTTATGCTGCGGTTTAGGTGAAGATAGTTTTTCTCCACGGTTGGTCGATATTTTTTTTCTATCACTTTGTTGTTTCTGTCTGTCAGTTTTACTTTTTTGGTAGTCATTTTCTCACTAATTTTACCGCTGACTCAAAGAGACCCAACGAAAATCATGAATTCTCTGGTATCTTGAACATAATGCTCGGTCCCGTTTGAGTCCCTATGTTTTCTTTGTATTGACTTCACGGAGTTCACGAACACTGGGAACACGCTACACTCGAATCTGGAACAAATCCACTTGGCATTCTCAGCTAAAGATCTGGCTTTACAGCCTTTCTGGCCTCGGTTAAGTGTTTCTTTGTTAATGTTACAGCCAAAATGTGGTCCTTGTCTCACCACGAGAGGCTAGGGGAAGGGGGGAATCGGGGAAGGGAGGTTGGGGAGTGATGCTGACCGCACAGCATGACTCGCTCGCCACGCGTGCAATCATACTGTGAGATGCGCACGGTGCAGATGGCAAGAGGTATAATTTTCTGTAAGCCAATGAAATGAGAGGAAAGGAATGACGCCGGCTGTGCACACGTGAGATTTTCTGCTTTCCACTTTCATTCATCTCCTTGCTTTCACACCGTCAACATGTTCATCAAGGGAGCTAACCACGTTAATTGTTTTAATATTCTTTTTTTAACCCTTCCTTGATTTTTGGTCTATTTCATTGTAATTGGGGCTTTCACGGACATGACGAATTACAAAAATCTCTAACACTATTTCCAATCCCCGATGAATTCGAGTTACCCGTGTTTGTATATACAATGCGTGCTCGTCTTTTTGGCTTTGCACACTTTTACTGGATGGTAAGTGGCGTCAGCAGCTTAGTGGTTAGGCTACCGGACACGCAGTCATGAGGTTGCGGGTTAGGAATTCGAACCTCAACTTGGTCCAACGTGTTGTCATTGAGAAAGGCACTTTACACAAAATTCCCACTTGGCTCGGTCCTTTCGGAGATAGACGTTAAACTTGGAGGTCTCGCCTCTTAATAACCTAACAGTGTTGATAGGGCCGTTAAAACGATACCGTTTCACCACTTTTCACTGGATGATATATGCATTTCCCCACAAAACCTTGACAGGGCTATAGATATATCTATGGATTTTCAATACATGATGATAGATTTGAAATGATATTAACTAATGCACAAGTTTATCATGTTTCCAGGGATGGTTATTGTTGTTTGGAGTGTTAAGATTATTTCCTCCTATTTATTCTGTAATTCTGCACAAATATGTTTCTTTTGACTGTATGCACAAAGCATCTCTTGTGGGGAGTGAGGAGTACATCTCGGCAGTTGAGTTCATGAAACCCTTTTGCCATATCTTTGTAAAATCAACTTTTTTGGCTTTTCTGTGGCTGAAGATCTTTCTCTGTCACATATCTGTTCGATGTGAGATTTATTATTTACAGCCCAATCCTCTTCAAAATAAATGCAATGGGGAAAGATCTGCAACCACAGAAAAGCAAAAAAAGATCTATTTTTCATTAGCAGTTTCTGGAGCTGAACTGCCGATCTGATGTTTGTGGTTAAGTATGTATCAAACTTCTTCCTCTCTGTGGAGGTGAGGTTGAAATTTTTCTTCTCAATTTTCTTCACGTAACTCATATAGAATGGGTACCCAGCTATTGACAGCAAAATGTTTGTCAGTTTGTGAGTTTTTCCTATTACTAAGGTGTGTAATCCACAGCTTGCACTCTATGCTTTCCGGGTAGCTGAGAATGTATCTGAATCATATTCTAGGGTCTGTGAGGGAAATGATAGTTGTAAAGCACACAATGCATGCTGTATAGCGTGGACATGTGAAATCTAAATGCAGTTATTATTATTATTATTATTGTTGTTGTTATTGTCATTTTCATTATTTTCATCCAACATTATTATTATTATTATTATTATTATTACTATTATTTTTCATCCATCATTGAACATTTTTTTGTCAGCCCAGTGTTTAAATGGAGGACCAAGTGTCCACCCTTAAAATGAACCACTTGGACCAGCATCTGTAGTGAGACACACGGGTTCAATTCCCGATTGGGGAAGTGATTTTATGAAGTATTACTATCAGCTGGGGTGTTCCCAACCAGCCAGGGTTAGTCTTGGCAGGCAGAGCTGAAGTTGCCTGCTCCTGAAATGATCTGAATTGTGTTAATAGTGACATAAAACACGCATAGTCGTTACAACCATGAATCCTAGTGTGAACAATAAGTAGAGTATAACCGCACTTTACTAAACAAAAGATTGGAAACTGACACGTGCATCTACATATGTTTCACAATGCTGTCGAAAAATGTTGGAGGTAACAGTAGAATGATATTGTTTATATGTAAATTTCTGACACTAGCCTTGGGAGCTGGAAATTCACCTTTTCTAAGGGTCACTAAGGGTGGTATGAATAATGAATGAGCTCAATGTGTCACTGTCGTATAACACTGTTGAGTTCTTGCATCTTTATATGTCTAGTGTAACACCCTACTTTTGTTCACACTGGGAGTCATTGTTGTATTGACCGTAAGTGTTTTACATCCCATTAACACGATGCAAAACCCTGAGGATACAATGCAAGACAATCGAAATCGGAGACTCGCCCTCTATATGGGTCGTACGAATAATGAATGAATTGTACATGCCACAGTTGTAACTCAACTGTCTGGGCCCTATGTCATTTCTTGTTGTTTGGAGGAAAACTTTAAAAAAACACCGAAACATGCTTAACTATGTCTACCTTATGACTTGAGCAAAAGTGAAAATGTCTCAATAGTTAGATTTTTAGTACATGAAGCAGAACCCAGAGAATACAACGCAAGATGAATCGGGCTCCAATGTGCGCTACACCATGAAAAATTTAAACTCCATGGTGTCAAAGAGGTCTTTTAACAGAATAGTAACTTACAACAGAAGCCACCCACATAGCCCTTGACTGAAAATTGCACTTCGCTCCGATACCTAATGATACAAAGAAAGGAAAAAGTGAAAGTAAAATTTTTTAAGGTAATAAGTCCTGCAATACTGAGGGTACGAAGCTAGTAACAGGCATTTTTACTCTACCAATAACAAGACATCTGATACAAAGACTTGGGCAGTTGTGTAAGACTGTGACATTATACTCTATACCCACACAGACATACGGTACACATGCCTCTGGTAGTCGATCATTTGCCATAGCATAAACCATGAGTCGTCTTAATCATTATTTCTTCTATTTCACTTTAACTTTAAGAATTATTCTCCTCTGCAGATGCATTAGTCAAAGGTTGACATTGATGGAAGAACTATTATCATTGTTTGGGATCAGCATATCAAGAACATGATTTCAGCTCTCTCTCCTTGTTAAAACAGGCAACAGGTGTTGTAAAGGGTTTCTGACCCCTTTCATTGTGCTTTCCTGGAGCATGGATTCCTGAATTTTTATGAGATGGATTATTTTGATGTACTTTTTACATTTATGAATCAGATTGTTTATGTGCTTAGCATAAGGTCAAACTGAGAAAGGTTTTAAAGTTTGTATAGTCTGAAGGCTGCGTTATTTTATAATTTTTTTGTTTTGTTAACTCTATGTTAGTGTTACTGCATTTATTGTTATTATTTTTTTTTTTAGGATATTAGATGAATACCTTCTTATAGAGACTGAATAAAGACAGGAAGACTTAATGGATGAAACAAATAGACAGTAAGACCAAACTGGAGTGAAGAATAGCGTTTAAAAAACATTCTTTGAGATCATGTGGGCCTTACATTGCCCAACAGTTTCCTCAATGAATCCCGCCACATTTGACGTAACTGACTTTCTGTGCGTAGTTTGGTTTTTTTCAAAGACGCCCGTTAGAAAAAAAGAGTGCAAATTCACACTCACAAAATTTAGCAATTTGTTCAACAGTTGCAACTATTACACTGTACTGAAGTTGAAAAAAAACCCCAACAACCCAGAGTGTTTTGTGTCATGGTTAGGCTTTTTGCTGTTGCATAAAGAGGATGTGTGTTCGATTCTCTCAGTCGGAAATTTAATTTCATGGAGAGTTTCTCTGTCTGTCTGTTGGGACATTGTACCCCACTCAGCCTAGATTGTCCCTACCAGGCTGGGCTGATGCTGGCTGGCTCCTAAATGATGTAGAATTGTGTTGGTGGGGGAAATAATAAAATGTACAATCAGTTGCATGTTGTTGTTTAGAACGAGATATAAGGTGTATAACTGGTCCGGACATCTAGCTTTAACAAAGAACTTATATATCTGATATTTTGCCAAAAGCATTTAAATGATTCTGTGAACTTTTAAAAATATTTAGCTGGTTTTTTTTTAGGGGGACTGGTGGATCCTTACTTCTTTACTTTCCCTCTGTTGTCTCTGTCTGTCTATCTTG